TGAAATCTCGATGCACTCCATGGCTGGGGTCAGAGGGCCAAGGACGATGAGGCTACCAGCCTGGGTCAAGGACAGACGAGTGATCGTACTCGTAGACAACGGGTCATCACACAACTTCATCAATGCCTACTTATTCCAGAAGCTAAATCTACCAACCACGATGATTGAGCCCTTTGAAGTTCGAGTAGCCAACGGTGAGAGGCTTCAATGCACTAAGTCCTTTCGTAAAGTACCAATCAAATTTCAAGGAGTTGTCGTGGAAGTCGATCTCTATGCCCTACCCTTGGTTGGACCGGACGTGGTTCTAGGAGTTCAATGGCTAGAAGGGTTGGAAAGGGTGACCACAGAATACTGCACCGAAGTCATGGAGTTTCGATCTAGAGACAAGAGGGTCACTCTCAAGGAGGGAGAAGAAAATTACAAATGAGGTTGGCCTGAAGAGCATTGCAAGAGTTTGGCGAGGTGGCGGCCAAATTTTTGCAGTAGTCGTCGAGAACACTGAGGTGCACGTGGTCGAGAACGAGCAACAACAAAGGGATGTGCGCGAGCTTCTCGAGGAATTTGAAGGAGTACTGGGCGAACCTAAGGGACTACCACCTCACCGGGAGTTCGATCATCGCATACCACTAGTCAATGAGCAGCATGCTGTACACGTTCACCCGTATAGGTACGCTCACTTTCAGAAAACTGAGATCGAAAGGCAAGTAGCTGAGATGTTAGAGTCTGGGTTAATTCAGCATAGCTCGAGTCCATTTTCATCACCAGTATTATTAGCTAAGAAGAAGGATGGTACGTGGAGGTTTTGTACTGACTATCGGGCTCTGAATGCCGCGACCATCAAGGATTGATTTCCTATTCTGAGTGTCTATGACATGCTCGATGAGTTGGCAGGATCACGCTATTTCTCAAAGCTCGACCTCAGAGCTGGCTACCATTAGATCTTACTCCACAAGGCCGACATTCCGAAAACAGCTTTTCGTACACATCAGGGGCATTATGAGTATTTGGTGATGCCATTCGGGCTGTGCAACGCTCCGTCAACTTTCCAATTTGCGATGAATTCCATCTTCAAAGAATACCTACGTAAGTTTGTCTTGGTATTCTTTGATGACATCTTAGTTTATTCGAAGTCATGGGTGGAACATCTGGAGCATTTGAGAGTGGTGCTCGAAGTCTTGGAGGCTAACTCATTCCACATTAAGCCGTCCAAGTGTTCATTCGGACAGGAGATGGTTGAGTACCTAGGCCACTTTATATCCTACGATGGCGTGAAGGTTGATCCACGGAAGATAGAGGCTATGGTCGACTGGCCTAAGCCAACGAGTCTCACGCAGCTCCGAGGATTCATAGGGCTCACGGGTTACTACAGGAGATTTGTGAAGGATTACAGGACCATCGCAAGCCATTGACGAAAATGACAACAAAAGGCGGGTTCACATGGACCAAGGCTAGCGAAGAGGCATTTGAGAAAGTGAAAGGCGCCATGACTGCGACGCCGGTACTTGCCATGCCAAGGTTTGATGTCTTGTTCGAGGTACACACAGATGCAAGTGATATTGGAATTGGGGCAGTGCTAGTGCAAAAAGGACGACCACTAGCCTATCTCAACAAGACACTAGGCACAACTCGATTGGGATTATCTGTGTACGTAAAGGAGATGCTAGCAGTTGTCGAGGCTATAAGATGCTGGAGGCCTTACTTATTGAAGCGTCGATTTTGGATTGTGACCGACCAACAGCCGCTCAAGCATCTACTCGAGCAAAGGATTGTTATCTCTGAGCAGCAGAAGTTTGTCTCGAAACTTATGGGGTTCGACTCTGAGATAGTCTACCGGCCAGGTCGACAGAATGTTGTAGCTGATGCCTTATCCCGACGGACAGATGTAGCTGAGCTTGATGCTATCACCGGACCGACGTGGACCATCTAGGAGAAAGTTCGAAAGGCGCAAGAAGAGGATACTTATTGCAAAGAAGTGCGCCAGAAGATCGAGACAGGAGAAACCATTGTTGATTATGAGTTGCACAATGGCCTACTACTACATCGAGGCCGAGTATTCGTTCCTGACAGTGGGCAGCTACGCGAGAAGGTCATGCAGCACTTCCACGATTCTAAGATTGGAGGTCACTCGGGTATCTACCGCACATGGATGAGGATAGCTAATACATTCTTTTGGCCAGGACAACAGAGCACGGTTCGGGATTACATCGCACGATGCGACGACTGTAGCGCATTAAGGCTGATTCACGCCGACCAAGCAGACTGCTGCAACCACTACCGATACCGAGGCAATTTGAGAAGACATCACCAAGGATTTCATTGAAGGGTTGCCAAGTTCCAATGGGTTTAACAGAGTAATGGTCTTAGTGGACCGACTTACCAAGTATGCTCACTTCACACACATTACCCACCCCTACACAGCCAATTCTATCGCCAGATTGTTCGTCGAATATGTGATGAAGTTACACGGAGCTCCAAGATCCATAGTTTCCGACCGAGATAAGATCTTTATGAGCAGTTTTTGGTCTGAATTCTTCAAGCTGCAAGGGACCAAACTATCCATGAGCTCAGCATATCATCCCCAAATCGATGGGAAAACTGAGGTAACCAACCGAACCCTTGAGCAATACCTACGGTGCTATGTTCATCATTTTCTAAAGAGATGGGAAAATTTTCTACCCTGGGCTGAGTACTGGTACAATACTACTTACCATGAGTCAACCAAGATGACTCCATTCGAATTGGTATACGGGCATAAATCGTCAACACTGATCTACTACTCGGAAGGAGGCACGGTCAACGATGAAGTCGGTCGAGAACTTGAGCAGCAAGATTTGATGTTGCGAGAGTTGAAGAAAAATCTCGAAGGTTAGATCAAACGAACCAAGGCATTCGTAGATGGGAAGCGACGAGAAGAGAATTACGCGCCAGACGAGTACGTCTACTTGAAGCTGCAACCGTTCAGGTAGCGCACGACAGCTCAAAGGGCGGCAACTAAGCTAGGAGTGCGATACTATGGGCCT